GGTGCAGGGTGGGGTGGGGTAACTGCAGCAGAGCAAAGGGGAGAGGAAGGGACCTGGTTGGAAGGACTTTGGGTGCAGGCTGGGAGCCGGGGCTCAGTTCCGGGGCGGGGCCAAAGGGCATTCCGAGGGGTTTGCTAAATGGAGGCTCTAATGCTGGCCCTGGAGGCCGAGCAGCGGCCAAGCCTCCTGGCCCCGCAGCCGTCTGCAGCCGGCACTACTTCCCAGGGTCCTGGGTGCTCTGCCAGCCTGCAGATCACTTTAGCCAGCACAGAGGTGGACCCAGGTGCGCCCACACCCTCTGGCCAGGCCCGCTCTGAGGCTGGGAGAGACCTGTCCCCGGAGGCCTGCAGAGCAGTCATTTAGGGGGACACTGCCTCCCTGGCCCTCCCCTCTCAGTCCTGGAGCTCAGGCCGCTGCCCCCTGCTCCCCGCCCCTTCCATCCCAGGTCTCAAAGCAGCATGGGGCGGAAGTCGGAGGGAGGCTGATGACATTGATACGGCTTCTGTTTCTGGCATCTTCTGGGGCTGGGGCCGCACCCAGAGGGTGGGCTCTCGCGCTTCTCGGTGCCATTGCCCGGCAAAGCCTCGCGCTGCTCCAGGCCCGTTGCCGCCTCCCACCCTGGAAGCCCTCGTCCTCAGCAATGACTGCTGTGGCCTGCTGGGCTCCCCCCCGAGCACCGCTCCGCCATGCTCGGCCCTTCTCACCTACATGCCTCTCTCTCTACGAAGCCCATGCCAGACGAAGCCAGCCCCGGCCACCAGCTCCACTGTGCCCACGCCGGCTCCGCCATGCTGCTCCCCACACCTGCGCACAGTCTGCCCACGACACGGTGGCCTGTTGAAATCTTGGTGGGAGCGTCCCACTCATCTGCTCAAAACCTCCCCTCCCCTGTGAGGCCCCACACAGCTGCTGCCGGTTCTGCCCTGGCCTGCTCTCCGGCCTCACTGTGTGAGGACACACCAGACTCCGTTCTGCCCCGGGGCCTTTGCACCACCATTCTCGAGCTGACTCACTTCCCCAGTTTGGTAGGACAGGCCTCCTCGCCCGTGCCTGTTCTGAATGTTTCCAGGGATGTCACCTTGTCACAGGCGCCTTCCTGACCACCCTGTTTCAGCCGACAGCACCCCTATTACCCAGTTCCCTTTTCCTGCTCCACTTCCTTTCATTGCACTTGTCACCTTCTGCCATCCTGCATGGTTTATTTGTTTATTGTCTGGGTCTCCCCACCCCATGGGGAATTACTGTCTCCACCTGTGGAGTCAGGGCCTGTAGCAGTGCCCAGCACAGCAGGAGCTTGGTAAGCAGCTGCCGAGTGAATGAGCGGGGTTGGAGCATGGAAGCGCGCTCACACAGCCTGCTAGTCGTGGCACCAGAATCTGAAGCTGGGTTTGTCTGGCTTTTAATTCAGGGTGGGAGTCGGGGAGGCTTGGAGAAAGCACTAGAACCCGGGCAGCCATGGGGAGGGGCCGGGGCTGGGGAGGACCCCCACTAGGAGGAGAAAGGAGGAAGGGAGTCAGTTCGCATCTCGGACAACTGGGAAGTTGCAGCTGGATATGATAAGTCTGGCCGTACTCCCTCCCCTCCCCCCCTTCCCCTCCCCCTCCCTCCCCGAGCCTGAGCATCCTCAGAGAGCCATGGGAGTGGCGGGTCCATAAATGACAACCTGCGGTCCGCCCTTTCTTGTTGGGTACACAGCGGCCTCTGGCAGGTGCCCACTGTGCCCCCGGCCTGGCTCCTGCCTCCTTCCGGGCCACTCACTGCTCAGACGCCAGCAGGCAGTTCTGGGCCAGAGAGTGTGTGCCCAGGAGGTGGCTGAGAGCATGAGCCCCTCACCTGGGCAGGGAGGCAGGAGGGAAGGGGTCTGCCTTCCAAGCCTGCAGCGCCTAGGGTCCCTCCTCCTGTGACCTCCCCCTCTGCCTCGCCAGGCCTGCACCCCTGGGTGCCCATTGCTCTTCCCCTGGCACCAGTTGTACGAGGACAGCCCCAGATGGCTCCCTGACCCGGGGACAAAGGCCACACTGTGCCAGGCCCTGGGCTGGGTCACACTGAGCCCTTCTGTCCCCAGTCGGGGTGAGGGGCAGACGGCACCAAGGTGACAGGCTTTCTTCCTGTCTCCCTTCCCCCTCGACCCCCGGTCCGCGGAGCTGACTCTCCCAGGGGAAAGTGACAGAGACATCTTGTGTCCAGCGCTCGGAAACAACACCCCATTCACTTGCCCGTCTGCCCTGTCACACCCAAGACCCCTCCGGGTTCAATGCCCCGATTGTGCCCAGCAGAGAGGCGCCTGCTCTGCTGTGGTCACCACCCCCGCCGCCTGCTCCCCTGTCACCGTCAGGAAGCCCATCCCTCCTGCTGCAGCCACTTCCTCTGGGGATCTTCTCTGGCGGGTGCCGAACAGCTGGTCCCCATCCCTGCCGTGTGGCCCCGCATGCCTGCCCCCAGCTGGCTGCCTCTCCCACCCTCCATCCCACCCACACGCAAGCTGGCAGCTCCTTCTCCTAACTGAACCCTGGGGAGAGCAGGTGCCGTTCCGGGCTGGCTCTCCTTTGACTGCAGAAATTGGGGTCTCCCTCCTAGAAGCCTTTTAATGCCCTCTCCGCCCCCTTCGACCCATTAGAGATTTATGGCAGCTCCTTGGAGATTCCTGATCCGCAAACTCTTTGTGCCACACCATAAATCCCAGACTGGGATGGCCTGAAGGGGGAAGCCCTGTTTTTAGAAAGGGACGTGGCTGGTCCTTCCTGGCAGAGCTCAGGCCCCAGGGAGCCAAGTGCCCGCCTCCCCCGCACCCCCCAGGATAACTGTGACTGAGCTGTGAGGGCTGCAGAGCGAGGGGATGCCCTTTCCTGGCCTGGGAGGGGTCCCCCGCCTCACTTGCACTCTCTCCTCTGTGCAGCCCCCTCCCCAGCCCCGAAGACTCCCTGCCCCAGCATGGTAGAACCGTCTGGAACCATCTGGGCAGGGAATTGTCCTCCTCTGGATCCCGGCTGCCTCCCAGCCATGGCCCCCAGGCTGGGATCACTGGAGAGACTTTGAAAACTGCATTTCCCCACACGCCGCCTCCAAGCCTCAGAATCCACAGGGAAACAGAATCACTGTTCGTGGTGCTCCCTGGTGATCCAGAGCCTGGCCCCCCCTTGCTCCTTCCCCCATCTGCATCATGGGGCTGCCCCGCTCTCCTGTCGGGCTGCGAAATGGGCTCACCAGGTGGGGTACATCCGGCCCTCTTGTCACCGGAACCCACGCTGTCCCGTCACCTCTATGACACTGTTCTGTGGATCCCCTTGGGCTGGGTGCTGCACCCAAGGGTGGGAGGAGGGCGGCTGCCCCCTGGGAGCTTCCTGTCAGAAATCCCTGCAGGCAGCAGCCTGAGATGGGACACAGCCACATCGCTGCAGGTCACTGGCAGGGGTGAGTGAGGGGGCCTGGCGGGCTCTGCCAGGGAAGCTGGCCACGAGCCCCCGGCCACCTTCACCAGCCCCGGGGGCCCCTGACAGTAGAGACCTCACTAAACACACCTCGCAAGCTCAGCGCCTGGCGTGTGCTGAGCTGAACCCAGTGCCTTCAGACCCGTGGCCTCTACACCTGTGAACCACTGGCCCGAGGAAGGAGGGCCTGGCCGGGTCCAGCCTCTGGGCTCAGGAGAGCGCTGGGGACCACAGCTGAGCTGTGTCTGGAGGCGGCCAGCAGGAGGCAGTGCCAGGGAGAAGGCCTTTCCCTGTCTGGTGCAGAGAGGAGGTGATCATTAAGCAAAGCAAACATGTTACTGACCTGTAATCTCTTAAACCGGGAGGATTCAGGAGGGGCCTGGTTGCCCTGGCAACCACATCCCGGCCGGTGGCACGGCTAGGAGCCTCTTCCAGGCGTGGGCTATGCCTGGCGTGTGGGTGACTGCTGGGAGGGGTGCGGGCCGGCCCCCACGCCACACCCTGGCCCTGGTGTCTGCTCGGCAGGCAGGCGTGGTGGGGAGGGGACTTGTGCCGGCCTCATGGTCCCAGCCACTCCACAGCTGAGAGCCCTGTGTGCAGAGCAGGATGGGGGCGCTGCACCCCGAGCCCGTGGAACCCTGGAGGGGGAGGGAGTGGGGAGCCATGCACTGGGTTTTCAGGGCAGGAGAGGAGGAGGTGTCTACAGGAAGCAGCAGCTGCACGGTGGCCCTGTGGGTGGCCAGCAGGGTGTCCTGTCACTCGGAGGGCATGGGGACCTGAGCAGGGGGAAGGGGTCCTGGGGGTGAGTGGAGCGACCCCCACCATGGCTGCAGCAGAGGCCGCCCTGCCTGCTGCCAGCTCTGGCGTGGGAGGAGCCGGCAGGGCTGCAGCCCCCTCTCCCTGGGGACCGCTTCCTGCAGACTGTCTCCCCCTGAGACTTTGGCCGCCTCTGAACTCCCGTGTTTGAGCCGGAGTGGAGGGGGCCGGGGCGGCAGCCGTGCACATGAGCCTCTCTCAGCCTCCTCCACTTTGCCTGGCTCCTGGGAAGCCAGGACAAGCCAGGGGGCACTTTTGGGTGTCAGAATCAGGGGGAAGTGGGGTTTGGAGCAGATCACGTCCCGAGGTGTGAGCCTGGCTGGTGTTCAGTGCACGGGTCTCCCTCAGGAGGGCTTGGCGGCTATGGACGCTCCAAGCTGTCACACACAGGTGGTAAAGAGCTGCTGGCCCCGGGGCCACCTGGTTCTGCTGCTCTCCCTGTCACCCCAGCCCTTCCCCCCGAACTCGCGGCAGCGGATGGAGGTGGGGGCCCTCAGGCGCTCTGCCCACTGCACCCACGGTCACCACCTGTGCTCGCCCGGGCTCCTCGATCTGGACTGGAGACAGCTCCCGCAGCGGGGAACTCTGGGGGCAGAGGGTCAGGGTAGGGCCACCCCCAGGGAGCTTGAACTTGGGCTGAGACACAGCTCTGGCTCCTGGCGGCCTGCAGGGCAGCAGACCTCTGGGGAACCAGACCGGAATCCACACTTGGAGCAGACCTGGACGCCCTGCCCTGTTCTCGTCCCTCTGCCCCAGGGCCCTGCTGCCGGCCCCAAGGATCATGAGCAAGATGAAGAACTTCAGGCGCCGTTTCTCCCTGTCCGTGCCCCGCACAGAGACCATCGAGGAGTCGCTGGCCGAATTCACCGAGCAGTTCACCCAGCTCCACAACCAGCGGAACGAGGGTGAGGGGCCCGGCCAGCGTGCCCTGGGGAGAAGGTCAGGGGTGGGGACTGGGCTGAACACCCCCTGGGGGGCAGCTGATGCCTGTCTGTCTCAGACCTGCAGCTCGGTGGAGACCCCCAGCCGGAGCCCAGCACCTTGTCGCCCGCAGACAGCAGGGAGGAGCTGGGGCACCCATCCCCCAGCACGCAGTACCGCCGGCCGCAGAGCCAGCGCCGCTTCTCCATGGAGGTGAGCGGCTCCCTGCCCTGCCTAGACCCCCAATCCCTTCACAGGAGGGAGGCTGGGCTGCCTGCCTTGGGTTCAAATCCCAGCTCTGCCATTCATTCTTAGCTCTGTGACTTTGCAAGCTCCGGGCACCTCAGCCTCTTTGTCTTGAAAGCCGTCCTTGGGAGTGTGAAATGGCTGTCTAACAGGTGCCCGGCCGTACCGGGGATGGAGCAGGCCGCATCCGCCCTGACCACAGTTCCTCTGACCCATATGCACCTGCCCAAGCAGCATGAGGTTTACCGTCCACACTTGGGCTCGGGCTCCTGCGGTCACACAGCAGCCCCTGGGTGGTCACACCGCCCCCTGCCCCAGGCGAAACAGCTGGGAGTGAGCCTGGATCACAGCTTGTGTTGCTCTGCAGGGAAAGCTGGGCCCAGAGTGAGAGCTGAGGGCCCCACAGCTCTCGCTACCCTATGGCCAACACTGGTGTCCCCATCTCATCCGGGTCACTGCAGGACATCAGCAAGAGGCTCTCCCTGCCCATGGATATCCGCCTGCCCCAGGAATTCCTGCAGAAGCTACAGCTGGAGAACCCAGACCTGCCCAAGCCGCTCAGCCGCATGTCCCGCCGCGCCTCCCTGGTGAGTCCGGAGAGGGTCAGAGGTCACGGGGTGGGACACCCTCTCCCCAGCGTCAGACTTAGCAGCCCCAGGGTTCTTGCCTGTCCTTGCGGAGGCCTGGAATGGGTCACAGGGAGATTCCTGGGCTCTGGTGCCACCTGCTGGCCATAGTGGATTCAACCAAAGAGCCTTCCCTGATCCACACCCATTCCCTGGGTAGGTCCCTCCTTGCTCTGGCTTAGCGCCTGGCCCCCTCTGGGCCCTGGGGTCTCCACCTGGCAGAGCCCCCAGTCCTAGCTGTCTATCAGATTTGCCTGGAGGCATCCTACAAAACCAGACTCCCAGAGTCAGCCTCTGGGGGAGGGTGGCCTGGAATCTGTCTCCTTAAAGGTGGGGTACACTGAGCTAGAAGAAGGGGGCTGCTGGGGAGGTGGCTTCTGAACAGGGACACTCAAGGCACAATGGGCAGAGGGACAGCACCTGCCCTGGAAGAGCCGGCGGTCTGAGCCACGGTGGCCGGGGCGTGCAGCACTGGGCTCCACACCCTGGCATTCCCCAGGGCTCCTTCCTCCATCGCAGGGACAAAGGAGAAAGGAGAAGTTTAGAGGCTGCCCTCACCCTGCCAGCCTCAGTTGCTCTGTGTCCGTTAATGGGGCCATCACTCCCTTCCCTCTGGGAGGCTGGGGGTGGAGAGGCTTGGCATCTGTGGGGCTCTAACGGCTCCCGGCACCCTGGCTCTCTCCCTCAGTCGGACATCGGCTTTGGGAAACTGGAAACCTACGTGAAACTGGACAAGCTGGGGGAGGTAAGAAACTGGGGGCACTGTAGTTGCAATCCAGGATCCTCCCTGGCCTGCCCCTGTGTGACCCCCGCCCAGGAGAACAGCAGGTGTCATCCGTGCAACCTGGCCCCGCCTTGGGCAGGTGCTCTGGTGGGGATGGAGCAGCCCACAGGCCCTGGGGAGAAGCCATTCTTGTCTTTGCTCTGCGAGTTTTTCTCGCCTGGGTTCAGATCCCCAGCACCGTGACCTTGGGCATGTCCCCTGACCTCTCTGGGTGCCTCGGTTACGTCCTCTGTGAAATGGAGCCGGCGATGGTCCTACCTCATGGGTGGCAGTGAGGACTCTTGGGCCACTGTGCTGGGTCAGTTGTCGCTGTGTCGGTGGCCTGGGGCGAGCGGCCATGTACAGAGAGGGGGAACACACAGGCCTTTCCTTGGGAGCCCCCGGAGGAGCCCTGCGGGTAGCTGCTGTTGTCCCAGAGGGACCCTGGCCGGAAGTGGGGGGCGAAGTCTCGGTGGAGGGAGGAGGGGTGGGAGCCACACAGAGGCACAAGGGCAGGCGCTGGCCCAGGGCCTGGCCGTGCTGACGGGGCGGGGCCTCTTTGCCCCAGGGCACCTACGCCACCGTCTTCAAAGGGCGCAGCAAACTGACCCAGAACCTCGTGGCCCTGAAGGAGATCCGGCTGGAGCACGAGGAGGGGGCACCCTGCACTGCCATCCGAGAGGGTACTGGGCTGCTGGGAGCACCAGGGGTCCGTACGGAGTGGGGCCTCCTGGGGCTGAGCCCGGGGACCCAGGCGGGCCTGTCCCCTCCCCTTCCCGCAGTGTCACTGCTGAAGGACCTGAAACACGCCAACATCGTGACCCTGCACGACCTCATCCACACCGACCGCTCCCTCACTCTGGTCTTTGAGTACCTGGTGAGTGCGGCTGGGCCGCCAGGCTGGCCTTGGGGCTGGGGCGGTGGGGGGGGACAGGTGTGTTCTGGAAGCGGGTTCTCAGACACTTCTGTGCACTGAGTGGCCCCAGCACTTGGCTCAGGGCAGCCGGGAGCCACGACACGCCCTGCGCAGGGAGAGGGCCCTGTGCCTGGCCAGGGTGGGACCGAGCCGGGTGCTGTGTTCCAGGACAGTGACCTGAAGCAGTATCTGGACCACTGTGGGAACCTCATGAGCATGCACAATGTCAAGGTGAGGGCCGCCGGGGCCGGGAGCCCCGCCCATCTCAGCCTGTAGCTGTCCAGAGTTCAGAGTGGGAGGGAGGACCCTGCTGATCCCTGCGTCAGGAACCCCTCACCCAGGGACACTGACGCCCTGGGCCACCACCTGGTGTGGGTAGAAAGCCTCTCTCTGACTGAGCGTCAGTTTCCAGCGCCGTCAAATGGGGGCGTGAGCTGCCTCCAGAATGAAAGGAGGCTGGGGCGGGGGCGGGGGTGACTCAGGGGACAGATGACCTTGTCCAGTGTTTGTAAAAGAGTCCAGCGCGTGCTCCCCCTGCCCAGGCCAGACCAGCTTCTGGACCCCTGCCCAGAGAACGCCCCAGCCCCCTGCGCACACATGGTCTCCTCTGCAGCCCTGGGCGGGGTGTCCTGGTGGGCCTGCACCCAGGCGGGGGCTGCAGGGGCCCGAGAGCCAGCCAGCTTCCCCAGGACTCCCTTGCCCCATCCGCTCCCTGGACTTGGGGCGGAGCTCAGGGTCTTCCAGATGGGGCATGCGCCCCCCTCTGCTTCACCTCGGCCCCCCGCCCCCCCGCGCGCCCCAGATCTTCATGTTCCAGCTGCTCCGCGGCCTGGCCTATTGCCACCGCCGCAAGATCCTGCACCGGGACCTCAAACCCCAGAACCTGCTCATCAACGACAGAGGCGAGCTGAAGCTGGCAGACTTCGGTGCGCACGGCCTCAGGGGCCTTGGGAGTGGCGGGAACAGCGGGGGAGCAGGCGCTCAGCAGCTGGTGCTGCCCCGCCTGTGGGCGGAGGTTCAGTGATGCATCTGTCCCCAGGACTGGCTCGGGCCAAGTCAGTGCCCACCAAGACCTATTCCAACGAGGTGGTGACCTTGTGGTACCGGCCCCCAGATGTGCTGCTGGGATCCACCGAGTACTCCACCCCCATCGACATGTGGTGAGTGAGCCTCACCCCGCGCACCCAGGCCCTCTGCCGGGAGCTCCCCACTCCCCCTACAAACCACCTGCTAAACTCATGTCCACAAACTGAGTCTGACATAGACCGGGGTTTCCCAGCCCTGGGGTGTGTGGGGCTTCCCGGAGGGCATGGGGAGGGGGAACCTGTGTGTACTGAAATGAGGCCTCCCCAGGCATCAGTTCTGTGAAAATTCTGGAAGGCGCGTCATTTTCATGTCATTTTCATGTTAAGCCTATGACCTGGTGTACTCAGGTGTCAGGTGGGTAGTGGCCGTGCCTGGGCCAGGGTGGGCGTTCGCATCCTTCTCTCTCTGGGCGCTGTCCATGGAGTGGCCACGGGGATCCTGTAGACCCTAAGCTGGCAGCTTCCCAGGGCCGGGCGAGTCCCCAGAGAGGGGCTGTTCCCAGGACCGCTCCATCCTGGGTGGCAGAGGATGGCACGCCCTCTGATATGCTCCTTGCTCCCTGCAGGGGCGTGGGCTGCATCCACTACGAGATGGCCACAGGGAGGCCCCTCTTCCCCGGCTCCACGGTCAAGGAGGAGCTGCACCTCATCTTCCGACTCCTCGGTCAGTCTCCGGCCTCTCCCTCCTTTCTGCCTCCAGGGGGCGCCAGAACTCTGTCCAACTAGGGTGCCCAAGAGCCTGGCAAGAGCGGCTCAGCTAGCTCATCAGCAGGGCGGGCACCCCTGTGGCTTGGGTCACTCTTTGCACCCCCTGCTCCAAATCCTCCTTGGCCTTGGCCACATGCATACCCTCCCTGCCCCTTCTCATCTCCCCAGGGACCCCGACAGAAGAGACCTGGCCCGGGGTGATGGCCCTGTCTGAGTTCCGAGCCTACAACTTCCCTCGGTACCTCCCGCAGCCCCTGCTCAGCCACGCTCCCAGGTAGCCCTGCTCCCCACAGCCCCTGCCTGGGGCCCGGCCCTCCCTCCCGCAGGTCGCAGCGCCCCCACCCGGCCTGTGTTAGCACTGCCTTCTTGCAGGTTGGATCCCGATGGCATCGGCTTCCTGAGCAGCCTCCTCCTGGTGAGACCCGGGGCCCCACCCCTGCGGTCGCCTGCTCCCAAGTCCCCCGAATGTCCCTGTCGTGTCCTCCTCAGGGCCTGGGTACCGCGTTGCATGTGCAGCCTCGGGTGTGCCTCGGACCCAGACCCCATCCCACACCTGCTCACTGTCCCGGGCAGGTGTCAGAAACAGGAGCTCAGGTGTTTCTGTGACCCCAGAGTGAAGGGAAAGATGCTTGGGAGGGCACACTGAGATCCCGCATCGTGACAGGAGCCAGGGCAGCTCCTGGAGTTTCATGTCCGCGTCTCTGGTGCTGGAGACGCCTGGGGGGCCCAAGCCCCAGGCCTGCCTGGCTTTGGGTCAGGTGGGGGCTGCTGGCTGACCCCAGCGACTTCTCTGGTTGGACTCGGCCCCTCTCACGTTGGGGATTTAACTTAGCACAGGAGTCACCTGCCCGAAGGGTCCCCACGGCCTCCTGGCTGGGGCCTCACTGCCCACTCCCCTTGCCTTTCAGTACGAATCCAAGAGTCGCCTGTCAGCAGAGGCCGCCCTGAGGCACCCCTATTTCCGGTCGCTGGGGGAGCGCGTGCACCAGCTGGAAGACAGTGAGTGAGGGCGTGGCCACCCCTCAGCCACCCGGGGCAGCAGGCATTGTGGGGAGAGCCCCAAGGAAGGGCCAGCAGAGCGGAGCGTGGGTTCCCTCCTGGATTGGTGCTCAGGGCTGGGGGCTGGGACGTGCCTGAGGGTCCCGTTGGGTCCTGCGGGGCCAGCGCTTGCTGAGGCCAACCCCAGCCCGCTCCTGGCCCCTCTGTGCTCTCGCCCAGCCGCCTCCATCTTCTCACTGAGGGAAGTCCAGCTCCAGAAAGACCCAGGCTACCGCGGCCTGGCCAGCCAGCCACCAGGTAGGGGGCCTCGCCCGCTTCCCCTCGGTGGGCCCCGGGGCAGGCGCCGCCCCCACAGTGGGCACTCTCTCAGGGGCCAGAGCAGGCCCCCCAGCCTCCCTTCCCTGGGCCCCTAGGGAGCAGGGGTGGGGAGGGCTTCCTCGGCCATTCCCTCCCCAGGACTCTGCACTCGGCAATGACCCTGGCATAGGTGCGTGCTCTGTGCGAACGCCTCTCACCAGTCTCCACCTGGACAGCGACTCTGTCCCTAGAAAGCTGATGGCCTTGGCCATGACCAACACTTTCCATACATTACCTGGTTTCCTCCTTAAAGGAAGTTGGTGCTGCCAGTGTTCCCCATTTCACAGGCAGTCTCACACAGCTGGTGAAAGTAGCAGAGGTGGGATTTGAACCCAGGCCTGATCCGCTGCTGAGCGCACGCCCTTGCTCATCAGTGTGCTTGGGGACAAGCGACCCTCCTAGGGTAGCACGTCAGCCCCACCTCTGCCTCTCCCTTCCCCAGGACGGGCGAAAAGCCGGCGGCAGAGCATCTTCTGAGCTGGGCGCATCTGCCCTGGCCCCAGGGGTGAGAGGTCGCGCCAAGCAGTTTCGGACAGGATGCGGCTGAGACCGGTGGCTGGGTTGGAGGACTGCTTGGCAACCCTGCCGACCACGGCTGTTTCCCCTCCCTGCTGCCCACACACCTCCCGGGGCCTTTGCCGGACACGACCCCTCCATCACCCACTGTGGAGCTGGCTGTGAGCTGCTTCCCTGAGAGAGGGGAGGGCAGGGAAGGGGGCCCCGGCTGCTCTCCCACCCCAGTGTGCCCGGGCACCAGCTTACAGGAGATACGCTGTCGGTACAGCGACCAACAGGTACTGGAGACTTCACAGGCCAGGCTGAGTGCCACGCCCAGGTTGCGGGCTCCATCTTGCCACACTCACCAGAGTGGGGAGCCCTGTCCTGGCCCTGGGCGCCCACACACGTCTCACCCTCTTTCTTTCTAAAGAGAGTAGGAAAGGACACGGCACCCAGACTGGGCGCCTGGAGCCCTGGGGCCTCATGAGTGCCCAAGCCCTGAGAGGCAGGTGCCCCCAGGGCAGCAGAAGGAACCAGCATCCCCCACCTTCCTCCTCCTCCCCCTTGCTGGGTGCCATCTGCACCCGAGGATGTCCTGGCCACCCCCGTGAGCCCTGCCCACCTCCCGAATCGGAATGGAGTTGCCTTAAGTTGGCAGGTGGAACAGCACCCACTGCCCTTGGAGCTGCGACCCAGCTCCTACCTGTCCCTTGCCTATCTTATCACCCCAGAGCACCAACAGCCTGGGGATAGCGCCAGATATGCAGGGTCACCCTGACGCTGGTGACCGATTGGCCCTGGCTCCTGGGGGCTGAGAGAGGGGGAGGGGAGGGGGCCCTGGCTGCTCTCCCACCCCAGTGTGCCCCGGGTACCAGCGTGGCACAGCCTCCCTCGTCCTCTCCTTCCCCACCTGTGGCTCTATCTACCTGATCCTGGTACCAGCTTCCCTGGGCCCCTCCGGCCTGCCCGGAGGGTGGTCGCGAGCTGGAGGGGTGGGTGCGCATGCCCAGTCTGAGGTGGAGTAGCCTTTTCTCCTGAGGGCCCCACCCCAGGGGCCCGGAGCGCCAGGGGCCACCACCCCAAGGAGGGCGCCCCTCTCGCATTCACGACTTGAACGTCAGAGGCCGAGGGGAGGCTGGGTCCTGCCCTCCCCACCAGGTTGCACCCAAGTCTCAGGCTCCCCCAGCTCTGTCCCCACTGTACTGTGAACATCCTGGGACTTGGCGCCAAGACAGATAATATATTTAATCCACGTGGTAACAAAAGGAGTGCCTCGTGCCATGGATGGATGGATGCCGAAGACGGAGGGCCACAGCCTCTCAGGCCTCGTGAGCCTGTCTCTGTGTGTGAGTGTGAGTGTGAGTGTGTGAAGTAAAGGGGGGGTTGGCTTTGTGTGTCTCTGAACCCGAGCTGGGCTCTGGTGCTGAAGGGGACCCAGCCTGCTGTGTGCAGGCCCAAAGTCGACCACAGGGAGGAGCACCTGCAATGACTGGGGGTGGGGCGGGGCACAGAGGAGGCCCTGGCCCCCGAGGCTGTGTGCTCCGGGTGCTGGCCCTGGCCCTGGCCCCAGGTGGCGCCTGTGGGTGGAAACCAACAGGAGAGCTAGAGGTGGGGGTCTGGGACTGGTCTGGGGTCTGGCTGCTGCACGCACTCCCAATGCAGAGCCGGAGTGGGCGAGGGAGGGAGGGAGGGAACGGGCCGCCTGAAGGGCAGCCAGGGCCAGGGCAGCAGAACGGGGCTGCAGACCGCACTGTTCTCCACTGCTACAAACCGTGGCTCCACCCATGAAGCCTCGGGCCACACACAGAGCCCTGTCCCATCCCCCAGGTCACTGCCCGGGTGTGTTCTCCCCCAAGATCACCCTGAGAATGCAGACCCCAAGCCCTGCCTCCCATGTCACCTGTGCAGTGGTCCTGGGACCGGCCTTGAGAGCTTGGTGCTCGCTAGCGTGGCTGGGGCCGGGGGATGGAAGGCTGCTCTGCAGAGGAGGAAGCCGACGCGCACAAGCTGGGAAGGGGTCCCCAGGCTGGGGCACCAGTGCCGCTGCACTCGGCTTGCTCAGCTGTCCTGCGGGCAGCCAGGCACCCGGCTGCAGGATGCTCAGACAGCCACGCCTGATGCCAGGGCGCAGACTGGGGAGCCAGAACCTGAGCTTACTGAGCTCCCTGCGTGGGCCCGGGGCCTTTCTCCCTGAATGCTCGTGGGGTACCCATTTCTTCCCACTTGGCAGATGAGGACGGTGGGGTTAGACTCCCAGGTCTGTCTGCTGCCCTTCAAGGAGGGGCAGGACTGGGAGGGGGTGCTAGACAAGCAGGGCCCAGGAGGCTGGGAAGCAGAGGAGGGATTTGCACAGACCCAGCTCTGCTGGTGCACCTTGCAGAGCCACTGCTGTGCCCGAGTGCCACACACACACACGTGCGCCTGTTCACAGAGGTTCTCGCATCTTTCTGGGGCAGCTGGGGTCCGATGTGAACACACCTGGGGGTTTCTGTGGTCCAGTGGAGGCCTCAGGACCCTGAGCTTCTGTCTAGGACCTTGTTGGGGTTGGAGTGGGGGTGGAGGACAGGCATGCGCCAGGCCTTGTCCCAGAGCTGCCAGTGGATGGAAGCTGAATCCGGGAGTGAAGGAGCTGAGCTGCCACTGGGCTTGTCCGGAGCCAAGCTGAGCCACGGCAGCCCCGGGTCCTGGACGCCCGGGCCACAGTCGTTGCCTGTGCTTTGTGGCTCTCACAAGCAGGAGCCTGCTGCATTCTGGGGGGTCCCCACCACCCTTGGGGCAGACCCTTCGCTGCACCATTTTCCCCTGGCCTTGCTTTGGCTTCTGCTCTGGGGATGGGGTCCGGGCTGACTGACCCCTTCACCAGGGCCATATGTGGTTTGCTCTGCGGCTTGTGGTTCTTTTTTTTTTTTTTTTTTTTTTAAGATTTATTTTATTTATTTGAAAGCCAGAGTCACAGAGAGGGTTAGAGAGGACTTTCATCTGCTGGTTCGCTTCCCAAATGCAGCAATGGCCAGGGCTGGGCCAGGCCAGAGCCAGGAACTTCCTCCAGGTTTCCCATGTGGGTGCAGGGCCCAACCACTTGGGCCATCCTCCACTGCCTTCCTGGGCGCACCAGCAGGGAGCTGGATCAGAAGTGGAGCAGCTGGGACTTGAACCAGTGCCCATATGGGATGCCAGTGCTGACCCCACCATGCCACAGCGCCACCCTGTGGTTTGTGGTTTGATGATCACCGCAGAGCAGTGGTGACAGCAGCACCCAGGCCCTGCTCTGCTTACATCAGCCCCCTTCCTGGGGGGACCTGGGCCTGGCTCTCCCCAGGCCCACACTTCCTGTGGGCTCCCAGTCACCCGGCCCTATCACTTGGGCCCAGGGACGATGACTGATGCCCAACAGGCCTCCCGTCTTTCACTCTTGCTCGGCTCCCTGGTGCCAGCCCTGCCCCTCCTGCCTGGAAGCAGCTCAGCCGCTTTTGGCTCATCTTCCACCTTGTTCTGCCCTGACCCTTGCTTCCAGTAGTGCAAGGTGATGCTCCACGGGTCCCCCAGGAGCCCCTCTGTCCCCCCAGCACCAGGCATTAGGCCCAGCCTCCGTGCCTGGACCCCAGAACACCAACATGTGTGACCCTGCACTCCTGCTTTCTGGACACTCAGAGCTGCCCGGGGAGACAGCCTCTCTCTCTAGGCACGCACTGTCCCCAGGCGCCGTGCTGGGCACTGAGGACATAGCAGCGTATGAGATGGCCACGTCCCCGCCGTCACAGCTCACGTCCTAGCAGGGGGAGAAAGACACCTCCCCCTCAACACGACCATGGGAAGAGTCAGAAGCGACGGATTGAACTCAAGCAGGGCAGGGCCTGGACAAGGCCAGGGCATGATCATGGTGTGGTCGGTGGGGGGGCTGGGTGGGCAGCCAGGGCCAACTGTCCAGCAAGAGCCCCAGAGGACAATCAGCGTCAGGGTGTCAGTTGTTTCTGTTTCTTTAAGATTCACTTATTTATTTGGAAGGCAAAGTTACAGAGAGAGAGAGAGACTAGCCACTTGCTAGTTCATCCCCCAAATATCCACAATGACCAGGGCTGGGCCAGACCGAAGCCAGGAGCCTGGAACTCCATCCAGGTCTCCCATGTGGGTATCAGGGACTCACGCACTTGAGCCATCATTGCCACCAGGCACACGAGCAGGGCGCTGGATCGGAAGTGGAGCAGCCAGGACTCTAACTGGCGCTTATATGGGATGGTGGCATCAGCCTAACCCACAATTCTGGCCCCATCGCTGTTTGTTTAAAAGCTCCTCAGATGACCTTAATGTGTGGCCAAGGGTGAGAACCCCTGAGGTGGGGTCTTGCAGGTCATGGTAGGGCTCTGGAGCTCATTCTGAGGTGGGCTCATTCCCATAAGGAGGATGCCGTGGTGGGAGGTAGATAGGGAGGAGGGGCTGGGTGGCAGCAGAGGGCACGGGGGATGGGCAGGGCGGGGCCTGGGCCTGCCCACCTGAGCACGCCTGCCCTCCCCTGCACCAGCCGCCTCCAGGCAGTGGCGGGCACAGGGGCTCCAGCTCACTGGGGTACCAGGACGATGCCCGCTCCTTCCAGTCTCCCACAATCATGATCGACAGGCAGCAGCAGGGTTGACCAAAAGTCACTGTCCCTCCACCGCACCTGGGGCCCTCACCATAACTCAGCCTCTGCCCACCATCTGCCGACTAAAGGGGCAGCGCTGGGCAAGGCTGGGACAATCCCTGCTCCGGACACCATGGCTGGTGTCACTGCTACTGGTCACTGCCCATTGCAGAGCCAGGCAGGGCAGCCCTGATGGGACTGCCACCTCCGTGCTCACGGCCCCACATCCGCCTGCTGCTTCCCCTCCCCACCCCGGGGGCACCAGCACTCTTCGGAGCATTCGTGAGTGTCCCCTAAACCCAGACGTCACTCCCCTGGCTCAGGGGCTTCGGTCTAGTGGTCACGATGCCCACGTCCCACAGCGCACTGCCTGCCTTCCTCACCTTGGCCACAGTTGCTGATTTCAGCTCACCCGCAGGTGCAACCATGGGAGGCCACAGGTGATGGCTCAGGTAGCTGGGGCCCCGAGTTCAAAGGCCTGGCCTTGGGGGCATTTGAAGAGTGATCTAGTTGCTGGGAGCCCTCTGATGGCCTCTCACTGCCCGTCTGTCTGTCTCTGGAATAAAATAAAGCACAAACCTGACCCAGCCTCTTCCCTAGGGAGGGCTGTGCAGCTGCTCCTGTCGGTGCACTTGGGCCTCAAGTAGCTGAGAGGTTTTCTGGACGTTGAGGTGAGCCCCGCTCCTGCACCTGTGCACCTGCTGGCGGTGGCGGCACAGGGCACGGGGTGCTCCATCCTCCCAGCTGCCCTCAGCACTCCCGATGCTCCCATCCCTGCTGGGCTCCTCCCCTGCTCAGTCAATCATCATCCATCGCATGCTTGCAGACGACCTGCCAGGCTGCCAGCGGTTTTCTGTACCGGTTTTCACACACACTTGACCCTGACTTACCCACTCCCAGGAGTTTAGAGTTGGTTGGAATTTGGTCTTTGTGCCTCTCATGCGGGCTCAGCTCCCAGGGGGAGGGGAACGGCCTGGTGCTCCTCCTTTTAGAACTTTTACTTTTTGAGACGGCAAAAGCTTCCTATGCCACCCACGTCCTCCTGGGAAGAGGCACCGGCGAGGCCCTGGGTTCCGAGGGAGAAGGCCTCTTGCATGTCCAGGGACACATGCAAGGCCTGGACTCAAACCTCAGTTCTTACGAGCTGAGTCACCTCGGGCAGGTTCTCCCCCTTGCCTGTTTCCTGCTCTGTAACGTGGAGATCGTGGCCACACCTTCCTCACCGGGCTGTGGGAGCCGAGACGGCTCGGAGGACTCGGGCAGGGTCAGCGCTGCACACGGCCACCTGCTTCCCCATCAGCAGCCGTTCCAGCCCCCTTCCTCCTCCCCGGAGTCCCGGCCCTGGAAGAGGGATTGGAGGTCACGTTCACCGTTTCCTTTCCTTTCATGCCTTAGCCTGAGAAGATCTCAACCTGCCAGTCTGTATTCAGTACATTCTACTTAAAACATTTGGCAAGGGGCCACTGGTTCAAACCCTGGCTGCTCCACTTCCCATCCAGCTCCCTGCTAATGGCCTGGGAAAAGCAGCAGCAGATGGCCCAAGTGCTTGGACCCCTGCTACTCACGTGGGAGACCGGGATGAAACTCCTGGCTCCTGGCTTCAGCCTGGCCCACTCCTGGCTGTTGTGGCCATTTGGGGAGTGAATC